TACCGTTCTTATATAAAGTGCTGTTGAATAATAGTTTTTCTAAAATATCCACGATTTATTTCTAACTTTCTTTTCTGTTTTTTGTTTTAATTGTGATTTGGAATCTCATAAATCACTGTTTCCTATTATCACCTTTTGGGGCGCTAAGTTGTTCGAAACCCGATATTGTTTTGATATTCTAGGGATGCTTCTTTAAATCCTGGGCGAAACATAATTGATTCGCAGATACAGCGACTTGAAAAATAGCGTCATGTAGATTAATTCAGACCTTTCCACTTATCTTGACCTTCGTACATAGATGGACTGATTGAAAATCAAGATTTCATTATTGTTCTGACTTTAAGAAGGATTGATTGGATTACCAGACATACAGATTTTAGTAAATGCAGCGTTTCCTAATTTATTGGCTCGGAAGGAAAATCTAGTTTCACCGTCATCGTGAGTCTAATCATTAGTCGAAATATAACTCGATAACAGTGTTTAGATTTTCTTTTTGCGCACTTAACTACCGTCACTGTCTACTCATTTTAGGTTCATACATAGAATAGAGACTTGACACGCGGGAAGATCATTTCGTGTTTTCGTCCTTCCAGGACGAAACTGGATCGCATAAGGATTTAGCTGATATAAAACAGGTATTGGAGAGACCACTGACTTTTTGTATCGATTCAACACTTCTCCAGCATATTTAATACCAACTAATAATCTGATCCAATATTTGTGCCGTGCCAGCCCACGCATTCCGGCGTCGACGTGGGACGATGTCGATTTCAGTGAATGAATGAACAGCTCGGCTCTAGAACACGAACAGAAGAGTGGGTTAAATATTATATTCTACAACGACGTTTTTTCTATAGATAGACTTTTACCACGCGCGAGATACCACAGTATGCTGGTTCAGCTTGATGCTGGCTGACTTGCTTAATAGTCCGGTCAATGTAGATAGAAAAAACCTCACGAGCGATCATATAGAATGTACCAGGGCTTTTCGTTAAATATAGTGGACTTGAAAGGAAAGGACTAAATCTACATTGAAGGTCGGGAGACAATAATAGCATTTTACCTAGAATATCATCAAGAGAAGTTCTAAAACGCACCATAGCGGAACAGGTACAGAGAACATTTTCAAGGTTTTTCGTGATGTTTTTTGTATCCGAGGATCTCCGTGCCCCGTGTAATGTTTTTGTTTAAACATTTTTAAACAGTATTAACATCGACTGCATCACGTCAAAAAAATGGTAATGTTGATTTCTTTCCAAGTTGACCAAATCACTTCAATATATAGCTCAGAACTTGTACTTTTTGTTGGAACTACATGGTGGATCAAGAAAGATGACGAACGCTCTTACTGAAAGAAACGGAATACGAACGTTGTACAGTTTCGTCACGTATGTCCAAGTATTATTTACTTGCAAAATTTACACTAACTTGTGTTCTTTTCTACTGACGAAGATGTTCATTTTCCTCTCAACTATAAGGCTTGTTTTGCACTTCCAGCTGTAGTTAGCAGACGGAAACCTTGTCAAAGTCGTTAATGAACCTTGCAATCCTTATTTTAAATTATGTCCTCTGACCTCCCTCTTGGTTCATCCTATAGGTAAGTTCTGCTGACGTTAGAACAGTCTAAAGAGACATGATTAGTAATTTCTGTGGAGCCTTCGCACTAACTGCAGAGGTAATATGACCATACCTCCTGCTTGGATCGGTGTCCCCAACAAAAAGCCCTGGCGACAAAATTGTGCTGCTTTCAAACTGGAGACGCAACACTGTAGTGAATTCGAATACGGAGCGCTGTCCCCTTCGTCTCTAAATGCAGAAACAGGAAACAGAAAAGTTACTTTCACACCTAAAAGCGTCTGAGTCGGGTTTGTACAAAATACTGGAAACTATCAACATATTACCGATGGCATCAAAGACAAAATACACGTGCGAGGACTGGAAATCACCTGACAGGTAGGTAGTTGCACCGCTGCGAAGGTTAGTTCCATTAGTTCTCCTTTTAATACAAGTACCGAATTGACCGTACCAGAACGTCCCAAAACTGGTTGATATTCGCAAGCGTGACATCATTTCAGTACAATTCCTTGCGGGCTGAATCCAGAAAGAACTTGGGAAGGGGACTTTTTTGGAGGGAAGTACGACATTATTAGAGCTTCTGAGAACAAATGCTTCTATGAAATGAATTTCTACTTTTTTCTAGTAGCCTTTTTGGGAGAACTCTGCCGCAGATCCTCCGCTGTTGATCCGATACTGGTTTTTCAATAGATTAGAACGAAATGTATGTGTTATTTTGCATAATTTCTTAGTTATTCTAGTGAAATTTTGTCACTGCCCTCGTACCCGAGAGTATTTCAGTTTGCGGCCAGCTTGCGTAACTTTCACGAGGTTTTATAACTCGACACCCAGGATGTGATTCTGTTACTTTCATCAGGATGTAGGGGCGATTACGGCTAGAGCACATTAACTGTAAAGCGTAATTACGCTACACTCTGTACGACTTCAGATTTGCGCTCGATTTTGCGCTCTGTAACGAAATATCGATTAGGTACAGTTACATTCAAATCAACCCGAATGCAAAGAGATAGATTAACTAAAAGATGGATTATAGAGCGTTTGGACAGCTGATTATCGTAGCAAATCAAGAACTGGGCGGCACCAGTGCTCCGTTGTTACTAGTGTCAGTAATTAGGGCAAAACGATTAGAAAATATATTTCCTGGTTCGGTATAGTGTGCTCTTCACCCCTCCCCAGGAAGTACAACGTACTTCTGACCTTTGAATTTCTTTTGAGGTTGAAGTTTTTTACCATCTACTACCCTATATATGTATACATCATCCGTTACTTTTTTTAAGATATTTACAAACTCTTATTTTTAGACGAAGGTTTTACTCAAAGTGTAACAAATTGTCACGCCTACAACTTTCTCTGAAACCAAAGCTTAGATGTATGTGGCTCGAAATAGCACAAATTCTCCTGACTTCATGACCTTGAATAGAGCCCTTCCAATTAGAGAAGAAAGTTAGGTACTCAAGTTTTAGATTCTATACCTTTGTTTCTAAGGTATTGATATCATCTTTTTTTAGTGGTATGCCTAGTATTGGAGGTTAATGACCACGGTGGCAAACTCTGCTTCATAATCAGTTTAATAATAAAGCTACAAACCTGTACACTATCTAATATTTGTAAGCCCTACTTTAAATTAAAATCATTGTATCCTTGAATCTTCGGAAATTAAAATCACAACTCAAACAGATTGTTTAGAAGCATGGAAATATAGATTTTCAATTTAAGGTGTTTAATCTCGATCCAGAAACACTTTTGCCTGTGTAATAGATAGCTCCAAGATGAACCTCGAACAATAATACAGATGAATAAAACATAAATCCGATACAGTCAAGATGGTCTTCTTTACATGCCAAAGCTATAATAATAGGGAACCTGTATGAAAAGAAATATGCGCTGATTTATCTCCAATGGTCAATGTAGGTAGGCAACATCCCAAGCAAGCAGTAATTAGATGCAAAGAATTCCAAGTATCATTCGGAACATAGGCGTGACATTGTGGAGGTCGGAAACCATATTCGTTTACACACACACACATGCTTACTTTTTCGTCTATTCAAATAATGTTTACGATGCGCTTTATCTTTACTGCTCATCAGATGGTTTATTATTGGTAGAGTAATTGGGTATTTGTCAATGTTTGACATATTGATTCTTCATTCTTCAACGAAATAGGACTGGGAGATTACCCGTAACAAGAATTACAGTGTTTTCATTATTTGAATGAAGATTTTCAACTGTCGCAGATAGATCAGGTGCATAATTTGTGAATTATAGGAAGTTATGTAGATTAGCAATAACAGTGAAACTAGGTAATCTGAAAACCGATCCGTTTCGAAGATATAGAATGAACAAAACCTTTCAAAATTGATACCCCATCTAGGACTGAAATCATCTCCTCATAGACCAATCAGCTTTTGGAATTAATGAAAGTCATTTCTTATCGAGTCACATCCATCATCTATTTTCATATACTTTACATTTTCTACTAGAATAGTTTTTGACAAATCTTCCAGATGGTCCCTTCAGGAATAAGCTAGGTGATTCAAGTCTGGAAATCCTAACAACGATCTTTGTAAATCTCTGTGACAAACTCAGCGTCTACCCTCACCGAAACTTTTGGATATAACTGATTAAGAAATATATTTGGTATACATGAAAGTTTGAGTCTATGACGAAGAGTTTGGGCTCCTCCATTCTAGGTAAGGTACCTATTAATTTTTCCACGGTTTTTTATGAACTTCCGCCTCAATGTTTAGGAAATGCGTATCTTGTCCTATCTTCACTGCGAGGTTCAAATGTTTAGAAGGACCATCACTTCCACCCAAATCAAAGTAGATTCAAAAAAGATGTAAAGTGGTCCATTGTTATGAATATTACTCCTATGCGCGTGGTATATAAGAGCTCCGCTCCACAATAAAAAGCGTATGAGGAGACATGTTTATGTGTTTCGGTGCCTACTTATTTCTGTCGTAGTCACGCTAATGCATCATTACACTCTCCAAGATGGTCACTTATAACAGCATTTATTGAATGATGTATAGTTACTGAGGCTACACAGTACTAAAAGTGGAAATGTGTTGGTGTCAAGTCATTCTTTTAGCTAGCTTTACGTCCTTGATGAGAAATGAGTGATACGAGCAATGAAAATAGTAGTACAAGCAGTATAGAACGCTGAAATTATTAAACTTGAAACTAGCTGTTAGTGGTAATAACTCTTGATCAAGCGGTTTGTTCTTTGAATAACCGTCACGTTTCGAGACATAGGGCAATTTTTGTCAAAACGTCAAACATTTTTTATTAGCACAAGTCACATATGACTGCTGTGATGTAAAGTTACCATTATTTAAACATTGAGGGAGTGCAAAAAATAAGGTTTTGGTGTAAAAAAAACATAAATGTTGACGCATAGTAACAGTGTGAATGTGTTGTTTCAGCTGGAGATGAGGAGGGACCAGGGTGGAGTACCCCTTACGGGGCGCTTTTGGTGAGCGCCCCCGTTTGCGCGGCCGCCACATGGCCGCATCGCCCCCCCATGGCAATGGAGGGCAGCCGCAACCGCAGCCGAGACACGCCTACTCGATCACCGCCCATCCAGAAGCGCCTACGCCTCCACCACCTCCGCCGCCCCATCACCAGCAACAGCGTCCACCAACTAGAGCGCGGCCCCCGCCGCCCGTCATGAGCCAACACCAGCCGCCTACGATTGCGCCGCTACCGCCTCTCAGGACCACGCCGCCGCAGCCGCTGTCATCAACGCCCATCGCCGCCTTCACCGGGTTGGGTCAAACCAACACGGCACAAGGATCCGTTGTTACCTTAGCCGTTCCAAGGTACGATAAAATTTTTGTACTTTTCACTCTTAATCAGCATAATTTTTGACTCATTTATAATATAGTTTATAGTAGCGTACACATCGTATGTCACTGCCGTTATTGAAATCTAATCTTATAAATGTAAATATTACAAACATCTATTGTCTTCCAATAATTTACTGCATATCGACGAGGAATGCTTACTCCGGCACCAAAAGTATCTGAATCAAATTTCTTGAAACAGCATATTCTGTTTCATAAGGTTTTCAAAAGAATTACATCTTTCGTTGCACAAACCTATCAGTGTGTTGAGTCTCATTTGTGCTAATTGTGCGATTATGAAACAAACAAGTTCCATGAAACAGGTACCATAGCATTTGTTTCTATAGTGTATCACGCGTCCTGTGGTCGTGTTTAATAGGACATACAATTTTGTTTCAGGCCCGAGAATGAACGCTCCACTAATGAGTACGTGGAGGCGCCGTTCCGGAGTTCGGGTGGTAGCCTGCATCAGCAGCACCACGGCCCCGCAGGCGCCACCGGCCATCTCCATCTGCCCCCGGCCCCGACGCGGCCTCATCGACTGCCCCTGCATTCAGCCGCCCCTTTGGCTGTCCCCGCTGTCACCAAGCAGCCTGCCTCCGCCTCGTTTAGCAAAGAACCGCCCCACGGCAGTACGACGACGGGGGAGTGCGCCGCTAGACCCTCTATCGTTTGTCCCGAGTGCGGTAGATGCAGGTATGTCAATTTTGGACAAAGGTTGTACGACTGATCGCCTTTTTTGTTTTTTCTCTTTATAAACGAATGTTCCTTGATCCAGATGCGAATCGTGTCAACTGCCTCGACCCCTGCCGCAGCGGTGGTGCTGTCGCGACTCGTGCCTGGTGTCAGCGGACAGCGTCATCGACTACGCGTCGTGCCTGTGCTGCGTTAAGGGGCTCTTCTACCATTGCGGCGACGCGGACAGCGGCGGCGAGAGCTGTGCGGACGAACCGTGCGGCTGCGCCGGTGAACGCCGAGCCGCGCGCTGGGCCTGCATGGGGGCGCTCGCGTGCGCGCTGCCCTGCCTCTGGCTCTACTGGCCGCTGCAGGGGTGCAAGCGCGCCGTCGAAACTTGCTACGCCAGGCATTCCAGGTAAGCCTTTTGTTCTACACTTATTCAGATTAACATCTAACCAAGGTTCCCCAGTACCATCATATATTTTATTTTCTGTTCTTCGAGATAGAAACAAGAAATTTGGTTGTATGAAAGTAATTTGCTTGATGAACAGAATCACTATTAGATTTTTTCAAAAAATATTTTTAATAGAAAATTGTACGTCCTTGTGTCTTCTATGGTTCAAGACCAAACATGACATCGGAAAAAGGAAAAAACCGTTCGCGAATCTCGGGTACTGAAAACCGTGAACACCGTGTCACCTAGTTCTGATGTTTGAACCTTCACATGCCCATTCTTTTGCGTACTGAAGGAAGCAGAAGAAAGGGAACTGAAGACACGCCCCTTGACTGACTAGGAGATGCACATCTCGCTAAAAATTTGGCGCTGGATGCTGGGGAGCCTTAAGGTCGCCACATTATGTCCGTCACAACATCCGTTGCTGGCCATCGGATGCTATAATAGGTTATTGACTGAAACACAGCAGTAAAGTCATATTTAGTAAATTTGAATGCCAACCTTAATGCAAAATAGATTCTAAATTGATACGTATAGTTTGAATCTTCCGGGTACATTTCTGTTGGGTAACAGTTTTCTGTGTTGTGACATTGTCGCAAAGCTTGTCAGATAATTACGCCAACGGCTGTTGTTTATTTGTGCTTTATTTTCGTTCTTTTTGCCTCAATATTTGCATTGTTATTTTATAAAAACAGTTTTTTTCAAAAGTTTGAGGTGTCCTTTCAAGTATTTTGCCGAAACCTCTGAGTAGACAAGCAAAAGAATTCATTTCTTTGACGAAAGTTTTGAGACCGAACGAGATCTTGGCGCTCCATTATTGCCTTTACAGTCCGTAAGAGGTATTAGGTAGTATATAGTAGTAGTAGTATATAGAATTTATACTAGCTCTAGCGTTTACAAAACATACGCTCCGTAATGTTGGTTGTCGTAAGTCATCTAAGACATAAAGTAGATTTTGTAAAACTTCCTAGGATCTAGTAGTTTTAATTAATGTGGCAACCATGTGCGTCACTGTCATTATTTGACATTGTGACGTAACTGATTTGATTCAGTGAATAAACTACACAAACAGATCGGTCGACGAGAAGGTAGCTGCCTGGCTTTGTTCGTCTATTGACGGGAGGCAACGGATGGCTTGTGGCGGATAAATGTAATCATTAAAGTAACAAAGATTGTGTTCCATTATTAGATAACTCAGCTCAAATATCTCACCCCCTCGTAACGTTGCAGGGGATAGGATTGGCACGTTTGGTTCATTCATCTCTTTTTAATGAAAAATAAAAATCATTTTTCTAACAACACATATTGTCAATATCAGCGTAGTTATGCAACCGAGAGGTTACGTTCACATTTTTTGACAGCCAGTTTTTAACCGGTACACGCGTTTTGAGTACGCTCGAATGAAATTAATCACGTATCTGTCCAGATCTTAAGCGGTGAAACGTTTATATGAACATAGGTCCGATAAATGCTTCCTTTTCAAAATACAAAGTGTCGACCGTTATTCTTGAAACACTGTTTTTTGTAAAAATATATTGAATTTTCGTAGGAATAGACCCATCAAGAGACAGATGTCTGATTCTTATAATGTATTACTTAAATGATTTCAGTTAATTTTTCGACGATACGTTTGCATCTGCTGGATGGTTACGAATTTTTGACAAAATCTGCTAAAAGGTTATTAACAATTTTTATTAAAGTTGAAATTTTCAAAAAAGATGCACCCAGTATCTTGAAAACGAAATTTTACCGAACCTCTTGTTCTTAGAGTGACCAAGAGAGTCATCAGACTTTGTTTAACCAGGTACGTTATCAAGACCGTGTAAGGATAATCTATTCTAATTTTTTCATCTACCTGTACAAAAAATACGAGCCTTGTATACAGTAAGAACTGACAGGTATCAAAACTGACGGATACGTGATAAAAGTAATATTATATGACATAAATTTCGTGAAGCTGGTATCATAGTGTTAGTCCCGCTCAAATGATTCTCTGTATCAATGATACAGTTTCTAACATGGTTCTTTGTTTTAGGACGGGCTGCAGATGCCGCCGGCCGACCGTGTTACACACGCCGCAGAAGAGACTGTTGGACTCCAGTCCGGACTTTTAATAAGCGAACTACTAGTGCGCATGCGCCCTTAAAACGGGTGCGGCTACTCGCCGATGCCGCGTAACCGTGTGGAGGAACTAACGACAACTAAAGCTGGGTTTACATTCGACCGTGTGCTCGGGACACCCTGTTATGCGCTCGAGTGTGAACTGGGCTTGATGTGAGATTCGCTCGATGCTGTTGCTAAATTATTTAATTAGTGTTTCGTTTGAATTGATCGAAAAGAGATATTGTAGCTCGCTACGTGAGTTTTTACTTTAGTTCATGAATAAAGATATCGATTCAAAAAACCAAATTGCATCTTTTGGTTCCAGCAACAAAGCATTGCGTAGCTTGGCGACAACGTCGAGCATTCCAAATCTCGCTCTGCGATAGCCCCGTAATTTTAGGTATAGCAAGAATAAATCTTCGAAACCAGGTTAGTTTCGATTACGTACTTTCATGAATATGTATATTCAATTTCAATATTAGAATAACTGAATGGGCAAAATGAAGGTTTTCGAAGATGAAACCTAGTATTACGATGCTATATTTCTTCCGCATTACGCGAAATAGACGAGAATACGTGTACCTACTATTTTAACTTTACTATATTAATTTATTTTTTGTAAATAAGTGTAATTTTTAACTGTTCATAATGATGATATTCCGTGCTTCTCTACTGATTCGCCCTCCTAAGCGCCACATGCCGCTAGGCCCCTCTGCAGGTGGTATTTTTTTATATTTTTGTGGTCCAATTTACAATTGACAAACGAATTTCTCAGAGACGAAGTGACATCTAAATGATTTTGAGTCAGTTTCTGGTCTGATGTACGTTATGGGAAATGAACATTATCCATTGATACATCCAAATAAAACCGTTCAATAAAGTTATCGTAACTGATAGGAACGGAAAATTGTTTTGTATTTCACTATAAACATAAATTATTGTTTTTCATTCACTAAGTTGAATCGTAATTAATGCAAAAATTCCTGCATCTATTAGGATATTTTGCAACATACTTACATAAACAATATGAATGGCGTTCATAAATAAGTGTCGTAGGATAGATAAATGTTCAAAGTTTAGCGCTAAGTAGTGTTGATGGGTGATTGGATATTCATTTCCCATGATTTCAACCACTGGTAAATTGGCCTTTAAAGAAATGGTTTGCGAAATTTACAAATTATTCCTATGGTACCAAATATATTGAATGCTTACATGGATTCCTCCGATTCACTTCTTGGATGGACCAAACTACGTCACAAATGTATACTGAGACGACTCAAACGCAGTGAGTGATATGCAGAAAAAAATTGAACATACCTCAATTGATAATAATTTGAGTGAAAATTGCCTTAAAGATAACGTAACTAACCATAGGTAACTTTTGTACCAAATTTACTTAAGTATTCAGGTACACACCCTTCGTTTATCAGCATAGACTAATTTCAGGCAATTTATATACCTCCGTCTACCAGATAAATTATTCAATCTATTCTGAATTTATATACATCATATAAATTGTACATGCTCATTCAATAATGAATTCTTGTACCCATCAGATTATTAAGGTCAGATATATTTCTACTAGGAAGGAGTTATAGAATGTTTTATCATCGCCCGCGTCTGCTTGAACCCCGTTAAAGATTCTTCCCAAATATGTTCCCAAGGCATTCTACTGGTAACTGTTATAATAAAGCAGCTCCAGCGATGAGATGTACCTATCGTTAATATTGCACTCACGTGCGTGAGAGAGACAACACACAAAACTTTATCCATGTATCGGAATTAAACATCCGGGGCGTGCCCCGGGTTGCTAGCTCGACGCGGTAATTCACTATGTTTTCATATCAGCTAAGCTGACTTTTTCAGAAATATATTAAAGTATTAAATAAATATATGGTAATTATTAATGTTACAGGGATTTTAATAAAACAATGTGCCCATTCAAAATAACATAGCAAATATATTTTCCTCATATCACTCTCTGTTTTGAACTTGTGTATTCTTGCCAGTACTCTTTGTTGTGACGCTGTTGTTTTTCACTATTTTTTTACGTTGGAGGGCGTCATGTCAGTTTTCGTCGTGCGGGTCTCCAGTATTATCTAGTCCAGCGCTGAGAGCAAACAGTCACTTCGAATTCGTCTATCATAGAAATAAATTGACAGACTACAAGGTTGGTAGACGTTATTTCAACAGGTGTAAATTTCATCCCTCAGAATAGTTATGAACTTATGGTCTGATAGTGTTTATGCACAAAGTAATGACTCCGCGAGTTGCATATTAGTACCAGTGATTCTATTTTTAGTTTGTTGACAACGAAATTTTCGGTTGTCACCAATGGTTAGATTTGTAGGTAACGGTATTTTGAGATATGTTTCTACAGCCGTTGTCATCAGACATCTTTGTCGGATATTAATTGTGGTTCTGCCAATAATTATCATGTGAAAATTATGTTTAAATTCATACTCTGTCTATGATAAATGATACGCGAGGTAAAACTAGTTGGTCATACCAAATTACTGAAATTATTATCTCAAGTCAGAGGAAGTCTAGTAACGTTTGTATACTTTTTTCACTCTTAAACTATTAATTTAGAAGACTGCAATGGTTAATATTATATATTAATAATTGATATACTTTATATATCGTGAATACATTGGATTGTTTCAAACTCGCTCGACTTCCCAGATTCTTACTATATTCTATATTTGCAAGAAAAAATATCTGATAACGAAAATAGTCACAACAACAAAAGAAAAACTATTTGAGTCATTGGATCTAGGTTTTTCAAATCTTTGACAAATATCTGGATGACATTTGGTAGCGAAACGTCAATTCTTTTCTATTTGTTTCACGAACGGCTTACTCACACTCCAGACCTTAGACTGTTTATTTTTTTTATTGAGACGAATTTAAAGTGACTCGACGTATGTATGGGATCGAATGATTGAATTTGCATGTGTCTTATCTACTCCTTCTGGAATTATTTGTCGCCCGCACAATATTTATAAATTATTTATTTTTATTTATATACATTATATTTCCTATATAGTCGATTTTGTGTATAGAAGTCATGTTTATAAGCTGAAAATGATAGATATGGGATGTAAATGTAAAGGAATTGGAAGAAGTCGTTTAACAACTAGTTGGTGAATCTATGAACAACATTTTTGTTTCCTGAATGTGTCTAGTACTGAAATTAGTATTATCAATACTTGAAAAATCAGATGTTTTTTTAATGGCACAAGATTGTTAGATTTACGTTATATTGTTGAACAATTGGTTTCTAATTATTGGTGAGATATTTCCAGTATCTTAAATGTTAGCATGATTTTCTCCATTCTTTTACAGACTGTGCTCGGTTTGCGGTACCTATTCTTTTATAATTTGGAGGATTCCATTTAGGTGACATATAATTTCAGTGGTTAGTAGATAGCATTTTAAATAAAAATGTTAGTACACTATATTTACGTATACTACAACTTAAAAAACACTTACGCACGAAGTATCTCAGGATATGCTTTCATAGGTTTGCGTACTGGTTCGTCTTGGACTCGGACGTCTTCTGTTGTGAAAATAGTACATTGTAATAAAAAAAGAACATACGTTGTTGGCATGTTTATTTCTTTACCACTCATTGTCTGTACAAGGGCTAAACATGAAAAAAAAATTAAATTTCCCATTATCCATAGCGTTTCAAGGTCAAATAATGTCAGACTTCGTAAAACATTTGGAGAAATATTTCTTATTGTTTATATATAATATATAATGAACTGGTACGATTTTGTTCAATTTTCTTTATGCACATATATTTCGACTTAATTTAAAAGATACCTCAAAACAGCAAATTAATTAGAATAACCATTGATAATTTCAGGTACTTCGTGTGTAAAATCTCAGAAACCACCTAACTTTATTAGGGACTACGTAAAAGTAAGTCGTAAATTTTATAACGACAAACCACAACAGTCAAGGTGGCTTGCTTAGTTTGATTACAGCGCAAATTTAGATATTTACAAGTTAAAAACCACACGTAACTCTTGTTTACTGAAGAGTCTTCGTAATTCTGTAATGAAATTAAGTGAGGCATTTTGTAGATAAACCGGTTTTCCCGAGAATCGCATACAATGCCACAGGGCGACCAAAACGCTTAACCGGTTTGTCGTTCTAAAATCGTATTTTTTGTAATAACGGAGGACAGTACTCTCATTATATTGAGCGCCAAAATGGCGCGCAAAGCTATATAGCAATTGTATACATTGTACATATGAAAAACTGTAATATTATTCTATAAAGTTAATAACAAAAGACTATCAATTTAAAACGTTGTTTCTGTTTGAAATCCTACATAACTTAAAAGTCGTCCTCCTGAAATGTATATCTAAAAAGCTCCGAAATGGCACGATGCATCTTTCTTCATTTCCAGCTAACAGTCACAGTTCACTTTGCAAGTTTATTTGGCAAACTTCTCAAATGGAAGCAGTGGCTGCAGCCTGGCAGATTAACAGTTATAGTCCAGTGGCATTAATCTCCCAAGTTCACTTAGCAAACACCTCTATGACGTCGAGCGAATTAAAGAAAATACTGCCGTGCTAAGCACAGATTGGGTATCTTCAATTTTCGAACACATTTTGATTTTAACACATAGTAAATCAGTAGCATTTTCTCTACTCATTGGTAAAGTTTTTGAACCAAAAAAGTTTGCTCAATATCCTACATTCGTTTAGGTCGATTGCTACTTTTTTTTGCTGTAGTAGGTGAGTAATGTGTAACCTACACAGCAAGTTAGCAGGAATTGTTTTAATTGTGTTTAAGTTGTACGCTTATTTCTCTTAGTATTGTTTTTAATTGGCTGTTTCTGCTTAATTAAGCTGATGATAATATTTTCATCAAGTTCAACTATCTTTATGTAACAAAGTATGTGAATACGAAATAACCGTTTCTGACCACTTTGTAAACGAAAGTCAAATCGCCAAACTTCGCTTGCCTTTTCTCAGTTTCATGTTAACGGCTTAGCACGGCGGAATAATTAAGTGAACTTAAATTTGCAAGATGTCCAACGCTTCTAACGAAAGAAGTCGATGCTGCCCCGGAGCGAATTAAAAGAATATGCTTCGGTACAATTAACGTGGAAGGTGTGGAAAATACCTCGAACGGAACTAAAGTCCGTTTATCGAAGGAAGAAACTAAACCCAAACATATTCACGCACATTTATACTTCAGTTTGATCGATACCATCGACGTAGGCCGAATTAACTGATATGATCCAGTGAAATTAACTTGGTAACTATCTGGTAAGCACCACAAATGGAAGCAATCGGTCGGATTAACGACATAGTCCAGTGAAGTTGGTCTAAATTCCGGAACTATATTGTTAATTATATCAAGATAGATGTAAAGGCTATCGTAAACGTGACAGATTTGCGTGTGGGATCACACCCGCCAAGTGCTGAGCAGATCACAAAATCAGCAGATGATGAGGTATCTGACAAGAATTAGGGCGTAACGTACCTCTCACTATCTTTGCAGCGTGATTAGACAGTGGCGGTATTTGTATAGCAAAAAAAGTACATCCAGAAGATTTTGGTTTCGGCCGTCGTACATCTTCAATGGGTCTTTCTTTTTTGCGCAAAACAGACCAAATTCTATAGAGGCCTGAACCTCGAAAATTCTCATTTTGTGAACTTAATCCTATAAGTGCGATTGCCAATCTTCTACATTTTGAATAGGATGAGGAAACAATAATTATGGGATCTTAAATATTCGAACTTGGTTTAATTCTACCCTCCAAGAGGGTTTAATTTTGGATGATAAAAGGATTACAGATACCGTAGTACCCTATTAGCCGAATCTTTAACCGCAGCTATAAACTTTTTGTAATTCAAGTAGAAGAAAGAGATCGTAAATCCTTAAGTGTAAATAGATCCTAGGAATCCATCGTCCATAGAAGGTGGGAACTAAAAAAATCATAAACTTTGCGTACAATGTGTGGAGGAGCCTGATCATACTGGAACAACATTGTCTTGCGGCAAGCTAAGGACATGTCATCTAACATCTTATCCAACAGTGATGTGAATTGTGAAGTTATAAATATCTGCTCTTCGAAAACTCCATCGATAACATTTTTTTGAACAGAGGGTCATTTCTGAATTGTAGGAATACCCTTCTGCAAACTTGGAGTATCTCTGGGTAGTACAAGGGCTGCTGTTCTCTACGAACAATTCGATGTACTGTAAACCTAGCTACACCAACATTTTGTAAAATACGGTGCTCGGATTAGGTAATGCGGTATAGCTTCATAACCCTCCTATCTTCCAAGCCTTACATTAATAAGACCTGGCATGTATTTAAATTTGGGCTTTAATATCCGCTAATCTTTTCATGACTCTATTCGAAATTATTAACAATTAAAATTTTAATTCTCAGGATTAAGGCTCCCTGCATCATTTTGTCTATCTTGCACAGAAACTATTTAGGATATTTGATTGCCGATTGCTGTACCTACATTAACTGGACTGTTTTCGGTGATTTGGTTTTTCTCAACGATACATTATTTAGCAAGATGTCCTGTAATGCTGATTAAGAAATAAATGATAATTTCAGAAAAAAGGCAGAGTCGAAAGTAGCGATTTTCTACAAATTCTTCAAAATGGCGAAAACCGTGAACAATCAGATAATGACATAGATATTTATATATGGTTTTTCTGATTGGAAACGACCCCCCTATCACGCCCTTCCATTTAATATATGACCTGGGAGACTATGTACATGTCCTAATGAACACGACCAATAAGTACCTTGTAGAACTACTATAACTACCAGTGTATACTAATGATGGCGTGCAGTAAAGCTGCACTAACTATTGTTGAAAAATGTTTATTGTTATGATGCGTATAAGAACTGCCTGCTAAATCGGTAATTATTACTTACCAAGGTACATACTAAGATACTCTGGTAAACACTGCGATTAAATAATTTTGCGTCAAGATAGTATTAGAATACTTGTTACATTGAACGTCTTCTGTCGTAACGACGGGTTTATATTTCAGCGATTCAGCCGTTTTTTACAAAAATGTTAGAATGCTATAGTTTCGGCAGTAACTGTGGCTACATTCAGCTAATTCTTAGACGACAATGACAAATGTATCGTTAGCTTAAAACCATAAGCTAAGCGACGGCATGGCATAAAAACTTATTTATGTACCGAGATACACGGAGTGAATCTCCTCTTATATTATCTTGACCTGAATCAGAACCGGGCGATCTTCCGGCCGTCGAGGCGAGAACCGGAAGTGGCCCCACTTGAAGATGTCGCTCCCCGCTCGTCGGTTGTCGTTTTGTGAACCGCTTTTTTTGTCGGTCGCTAGAGAAGAATCTTCTTGCCGAGGCTGGCTGAAGGCAGGATGCACGGCCAGATGGGATGCTGATGCTATAAGACGTTGCCACATTTCCACAGACAAATATGCGTAGATGATATAGACGTGGAATTTCATTGGTCATGAACGTTTCCTGTAGGGGTACAACGCTATTTCTTGCTGTTTTTGTGTCCAACGTACAAATAAGTCAAGTGCTTAGAAGTTCATTTTCCTGTCGTTATAATGCAAATATAATTTATCCCTTTTCCAGAAACATGTCCTTGTAAAAAACTGCAATAACAGTAACAAAAAGCTGAGCAACAACTGCAGAATTGAAGCTAAATTTGGTATAAGTACTTTATGATGTAGCATACAACAAAAAACAAAAGCTCGCCAATAAACATATGCAGATCAAATTGCAATCAGCCGGATGCAAAAACGGTATTCTTCCGCCAAAAATGCATAAAAATCGTTGATAGATTACTTTTGAGGTTTGTAATTACAAGTAATTCAAGTCTGCAATTTTTTTTCAAAAATACATCAAACTGTCATTAGCTACGGTCACATTGTTTCTGGAACTTGTAGGCTTTGGAGAAAAATTTCGCTGTTATAATACCATTATTCTGTGTTGTTCAGAAAGAGTATAGCGGCAGGACAGAAAAAAAATTATGTACAATTAATAGATTTTTTCACAACTGTGTGAATATTACGAGCTTTTTTATAGTATCAATTTGTTGAAAAGCCTTGAACGTTTTCGATTTATGCAAAAATGTGTTAGCACGTCTTGCGAGTATCAATTTTAGCTCCCACTATTACTATCTTCAGGCAACGCAAAAACAGCGGCACAGTTACAAATATTGTACAATTTTCCATACTTTCTTCGAATGAGGTTTACGTGATACAAACCAACATTGAGCTCACGTCTAATGTTGTGAAATAGTTGTTTCAAATTATACACAAATCTCCATTTTTGAGGATGAGCGAAAAATCTAACGAAAATTGACCAGAGGGAAAATTTGATTTTTAGTGATAAGTGAACGTTATAAGGTATGAGTACCACAAACAGGCACTAGTGTCTAGAATCGTAAGCCTTTGGTCTCATATTCATCCATTCACTGATATCAGAATCATTTTTCTATCCGATCTCGTTATTCATCAGGCTTAAGTTTCCGATATTTCCGCGATAGAAATATATTCCCAAAGATTTGGCAACCAAAGTACTGCCTCGGCTCCGTAACCGACGTGTCACGTGGTGAGAACTGCTTGCGTCGTCCTCCTCTTGCGTATTATTATACTATCGCTATCTCTTTTTGGCAATAAGGATGCTGTAGCCGCGCGCCAAAGGAAACCCGAGGCTCGCTCACTCAGTAGCGGCTCGTGCATCTTCTTTGAATTAGGTACTAAATCTAGCATAAATCAATCGGACAAGAGTGAAAAGCTTTAGGACATAGTAGGCTACAACATTACTTCACGTACTTCCAAAGAGTGCTTTAATTTAATTTGTAATAGACTACTACTCTCTCTGTGATGGTACCCAGTCTGTACGGAGTCTGTTTGGTTTCCATGTTTGTGACAATGATCACCCGTATACAAACAGTAAAACATTCTTTTGGCTTCTCAGCCTCCTTGTCCACCTGACTTGAGTCCTTGCGACTTTTTTCTCTCCCGAAGTTGGAAAATCACCTCAGGGGAACTCATTTTAGGACAGTCGAAAACATTGAAACGACTGTAACCGATCAGCTGAAGGCTATTCCAGTATCGGAATTCCAGCACTGCAATGAGGAGTGGAAGAACCGTCCCCAAAGCTGTGTCACTTCAGAAGTGAGTTATTTTTGATGGTGACAATATAAAATTGTAATTAGGTATACCTGTATTTGAATAAAAAAAGTATCAGACCTCGTTTAGCCTCAGCGAGCGTGCACCTTTAAAATTTTTGAATCTGGCCTGCCAATAGACCATCTTTCAAAGCTACCGCTTTTTGTTTCTATGTAAACATACCAGGAGCTCCATTATAACTTATTTATTGTTTGATGTACAAAAAATGGGCATACGAAGGATAAGACCTTCATGAGGACAACATTATTTTTTATAGCATTTTTTTTGTAGAAAAACATAAAAGGTCTTTTAGTACCATCATAACCTGTGTTTTGAAAAACACTGAGAAAGATGGACAAGTGATACAGAGGATAACTTTTTGAAGTTTCAAAAAAAGTGTAGGAAATCCAAAAAACCGTCCTCTGCACTTCGATTTACTTATTTTTTTTTTGTTCGCATCTGAAAAATTAAATAAGTTGTCATGGAACTTCTAGGGCATGTTTATATAGGATCCACTTACCAGTTGCAGTATTAACAAAACAATTTAACTCAATTACTCCTTATTTGTTTATGCCCAACTGGAAGATACGCTACTGAGAGCTAGGTCCGTACGCGCCATTCTGGATGGTTGAAGAAAAAGCGCGAAGATTCGAACGCGCTTCGATGCCATAGAACAGGTATAGTCCAGTTAAATAGCCGAAACTGAGACAAAAGTGATAACATAGCCACAAAGTTATTTCCGCTGGCGTAATGGTGTAATAAAGGATTGCGAATATTGTTGTGTGAATTTGGTTTTCCGGAAACCAGCCGTTTTTTGTAAAACAGCGAAAAACCCGAAAAACCTCTTTTTCGCTGAAACGGCTGAGGATATCTAGGATTTTTTTACACGAAAATTTTTCTAATTTTTGGGCCATCAATAAAGGTCTCTACAAATTTTTCGCTAAATTGCTTAGTTTTCGCGCTACAGCTTGCTGATGGCTTGTGGGCGAGGGGGTTTACGGGGAAAGGGACGCGCGTACACCTGCCGCCAGACGCCGCACCGTTGAAGCGGCGATCCTCTTTTATTTCGACGTCCTCAGTGTCTCTCTCTCAGTGATAGGCCAGTCGATTTCGAATAATAATCTCGTTTGTAGTTGTGGCGTTCACCGACTTATGCATATTAATGAATTTTTGAAATTTCTGCGTTTAGAGTACAAGATGCAGTAATTTTTCTTCAGCCGCTTACCGATTGACTGGATAAGTGAGGTATAATATTTTCATTTAGAATTGGAACAACAATAAAAAACCTACAGCTGCAAAAAAGGTGTGAACGTGTATATAAATGAGTGGCAATGATAAGAATACATTACAGGATGTAGAAGCCCAATGAGTCATCAAAAGACTCGCTTTCGAGGCTCCACGTTATTTTCATAGTTATCCTCGCAAATCAGTTTGATCACCGGTAGTTGTTAATCTACGATCATGATAAGAGATTTAGCAGTTTTTGAGCCGCATCTATACGTTGGTCTGACCTACGCCAACGCAAATATGTAAAGAATAGACAATGGCCGATGGTGATGAGTATTTGACGATATCTTCTCTGCACACTCGCTGTGGAAAAACATTACTCCATTATATTTTAATCGAGATAAGAAATTATGTACGAACCATTAATTGGAAGTTGCATCAATTTTTTATATTTTCTATTTTGATAGAGTATAACAAATTATTTTTGTGTTCAAATATGTTTGTTTTACATTTGTTACTTTACATTTCACACATATAGTTGTACAAAAACCCTCACTTGAGCCAATGAAACCTACAATAGCATGTAAGAGGAATTGAAAGTATATACAGTTCAATGTTATATCCACCCCAATCTGTTACAAGTAGGATAAATCATTGAAGGTCAAAGTCATTAAAGTCCTTCGTTAATTTCCTCGTCATCGGTTGTTGCATCGTGGCTGCTTGATGAGGTCTCATCATCTTCTGTTAAGTCCTCATTATCGGGTTCTACGGTAGTTTGTCCACCGTCCTCCTCACATGCATCTGTAGTAGTCGGAGTTTCGCTATCATGGTGTTCTGTAGCAGTCCATCTCTTTGAGTTGTTGCACGATTTTCCGCGGCATACTTTGCAAGCAGGGTTGCACTTTAGACCGGCTTTTCGGCAGTTACATCGCTTCGATTTGCAGGGCCCTTGGCATCCACAGGAAACCTGAAAAAAGGTTATCATGAGAATTATTATAATCTAAATATCAGTTGTCTTGTAAGGGAAATCAATGACAGGCCTTTTATAGTGCTCCATAGATCAGTCTAAAAATTTGTTATTTTAACTTGAAACTAGATCTCACATTGTTCAAAAATTATTTTAATTCCGGTCAGACAGTACATGAGATCAAAAGTGTAGTAAAAATTAGTTGTAGCAAGTTGTATTTATTGCTTCAAATTGAATACATTTCACATATACCTTTTGTAACAGTTCTTTTGGTGCGGGATCTGCTTCAGACATGATCGGAATGAGAATATTACCCTGTCTTGTCCATCCCCACAAGCAGGGATCTAATCTATGCTGAAGCCACACCTGGATTTGATAGTACACTCGTTTACAGTGCTGAAGCAAGGCAGGAGATGTTGGTGGCAGACATTCTAGGGGCGTTTCCTTTTTTGCCTTTGCTAAGTTTGTAGAAAACAAATTGTATCTGAAAGTCCCGAGAGAAGAAGACTGTTCTTTGTCTTTGTATAGTGCGAGAGTAATCGTCTCTGCACATTGCAGCAATTCGTCTTCCAAGCAGTCCGGCTCGTAAAACTTCAGCGCCAGCGCTCTAATGCTGTCGTTCTGCAGCAGCAACTTCACCAGCTTCATCTTCCCTTTCCCAAAAAAGCAGCTAGTAGTGTCGCAGCCCGCAAAGGCATGAGCAAAAAGTAGAAATGGTTGCAAATGTTTGTGATCCCGAGTATCGTACAATTGGTTCGCCTTGCCCCCCTGGCCCATCTTGTAATAGTACATGCTCTCTGAGGTTGGAGTGAGTCCAATAAGTAATATTAAGAGATCAACATCCGAGCCGACGACTATAACTCGTGATTTCCCGTGACGAAACAATTCGTTATGAGTCTTCAGAGCTGTTCTCACAATCTCAACATCTGCATCCTCTTTCGCATGGATCACGGTAAAACTGAATCCCTCATATGTTGCAAGAGTTTGACCAAGGTGATAAACAAATTGAGCCTTGTTTTTCACGTTGGACAAAAATGTCCTTTGGTTCAATGGGACGAGATTGTCTGGTTCAATTTCAACGTCCACGCCACAATTTCTTTCTTGTCTACGGTCTCGCTCGTATGATTTGACACCTATATGTTCATCTTCATATCCGTCGAAAACAATAATGACGCTCCGACCAAACCGCTGAACAAGAAAGTTCTTGTACATATCAAAGATTGCACGGTATGTCTTACTATGAGGCCAGACGAGGCTGTGAAGCAACCATCCTCCGTCTACAACAAACTGAGAATCTTCAAAAAATGCTCGTGAGGATAGGGTAGTAGTGAACATTTTATATAACTGTGACTTGTCGGTCTTTCGCATTGATCCTTTCTCGTCGAACAAACTAAGTGGAACAGGAGACATTTCGTAGTCGAAGCAAGATTTACTCAACTCTTTCCTTCCACGCATAGCCACAGACAGACGTTGAAATAATAGAGAGGTATCAACAGTGACAGTGGAAGACATAGCTTTTTGAGATTGTGTCCGTGCAAAGTCCAAATTCTTGATCTTGTACAATTTTGACAGCGACACCTTTTCATAAGTGCGTCCAACTATATGACACATTGCTTGTGTGCCACGCTCGAAAGCCATATGACAATTTATTTCCACACCACCAACAACTCCAGTTGACAGCGAAATTAATTCCTCGCGGACTTTGAATGGTTCATGCCCCTTCAACCAAGTAACGAATGAGGCAATGTCTTTTGCGTCCCATGCTTTTCGTCCTTTGCCCAAATCAACATGCTGCTCACTGTTTCTCGTCTCCAGGTTACAATACTCTTCCAATGCTTGCATCACATGCACGGCGCAAGGCATCCCCAGCAAATATCGAGACACGACACTCCGCGTAACACCTCTTCCGTGTTTCAAGTCAGTCCCAAAAAACCTATTCAATGTCTGCTCGATTGTCATGTCGCTCCAGATTCCGGACCAAGCCTTATCCGACCTGTGGATAGTGAAATAACCCTGCGTGGCAAACTGGTGAAACTCTTGAGGATCCATGATGTCCTGTAGAAGTACCATATCCTGCATATAAATCTGAGCTGCTTTTGCATATTGAAAATGTCCCGCGGCATGAAACAATGGCCACATTCTTCGAACGCCATCAAGATGAAGGTCCCAGTTTCCAAGACGTTCTGCTTCAATAAAACGCAAGACAATAAGCACGGCTTCAATGTACTGCACCCACAACTTGGCTGTTGGGCCGTTATTTTTCAATTGCTTCAACTTTGTATAAAACAAATCAGACATTTTCTTCAGGTCCTTATCAGAGTCACTGTCCCCTAGCTTGAGAGGATTTTTCTGCCAGACACGCATCAATGATGCGATAACCCCTTTGATCTCGCCTTTTTCTTCGATTGAATCACAAATTACGATGCCTAAAGCTGTAAACGTCAAAATGTGTGCTCGGACTGCTCTTGAATAATTGTGCCCGTCCATCATTTTCTTTATGGATTCACTAGCGTAAGCAAGCTCCCACATAGATTCAAGTCCGCTTCCTCCCATGATAATACCTATTGCTCCCAAAAAAGACATTAACATGTGGAATCCGCCTAAGCGAACAAAAACGTCGGGCAACATTAACTTCGCTATAATATCGCGACATTTCATGTACAACGGCAAGTCGTAAGTTAAGATAGTGGTTTTTTAACCACATTTACGGGTTTCGCTCTTTGCATGCATGATTGATGTATAAATGGTTGTTAGACTAGATGGAACTTCGTTAATGAATTGTTGGCATTGCACCCCCGACCTTTGGAAACTTTCATTTTCCGAACATATCTCCATGAAACCTCGCCATGCTGGTACATTCTCAAGATCAACGTATTTAGCCCACAAATAAGTTGAGTAAGTAGGGGGGAATAGAGGCATGTCGACCATGGTCAGTAAATTTGTATCGATGAATTCTATAAGTTTCAAGCCCTCTTTTGGCGGCTCGACGTAAGGGAAGATTGGAATTTGTTCTTGCTTTGCAAGGATATTTGCGGAAGGCATCTCAGTAAGTTTTTCGACACTTCCACATTGTGTGATTTCGTGCTCCGGAGTGTAAACCTGTATTCCGCCTAAACAATGGAAAGTCTCCCGTCCGTCCAGGGTCCTGACGTTGTGGTCAGTATTATCAAATACAAATTGTACGAAAGGTTTTTCGATGATCAATCTGGGTGGATTCACTATTGTTGAAGCCTCATACAATTCAATATTGTAGTAAGAAGTGCAAACGCCTAATGCATGCAGAAGATTTATGATGTACTTGGAACCTGTTTTTCTCAGAATCAATGTCCCAATCGACAAGTGGAGGGTGGACAAAAACGTACGTGGCTGAATGAATGAAAGTATGCATTGAGATATCATGTCTCGCTTCACAGACTTTGCTTTTTTATCTTCCTCTTCGTCAGCGATAAGGAGAAAGTGCTCAATAAAGAACGAAAAGTGGGGTGGATAATCGGAGGAAAGATCGCTTACAAATTGATTGGACGGTGGGTACTTATCGCTTACAAATTGCTTGCTGCGAATCTCTCTGTGCATTATATTTGAGGCCTGAAGCAAAATAACTTGTATCTGCCCTTCTGTGAAAGTTGATGGGTCTGCTGACACATTAAAAACATGATGACTTTTGAAGCATACACGTATATCTTTTCCCCCCATTATACTGCACTCAACTTCCTCACCGTAACGTTTTTTAATGTGATCTGCTACAGTCCTTCTATCTATAGAGTCATCATCCACAAGTTCTACTAACTTCGACAAATAATGAATAACATTTTTGTCTTCTTCAAGAACTTGCCACACAGGTTCTAACAATGAATCGATTCTAGACCAGTTTAGATCATCGATATTTTTTTTAAACCATACGCATTGAAATGAGACATGCATGTCCGGTGGTATCTGCCTTGTACGCGAATTAAGCAAGAAATGTTCTCTAATCTTTCAACAACGCTAATTCCCAAAGAGTCATTTCTTTCCTTTCCCATTGCAATCAAGTTATCACGCGTCTCTTTTTGTGTGACTGTACAGATTTTTGTTTTCGCATCTTTTATTATACTCAAACCACAAATGAAGCAATTATCAGCGTAATGGAAATCAGGAACCTCATCCCTTGCAGCTACGACATTGTTATTTGGTGCATTCAACGCAAAATGCTGAGTATACGTTCCACTGACCGAGTATGAAAGTCTACACTTCTCATGGCAGTCCAGTTTTTCCTTTTTTTCCCAATCCAACCATTTTTTGTCTTCCCCGCGTTTGCTCTGTGTGATCAGTGTACTAATTCCCTTCTTCCCCACGATACTGCAATTGCCGCGCGCCATCGGATAACTGCAAATGGCGCAGTTACTATTTTGCTGCATTTTATTCCTATTGAATAACAGAAACAATTTCAGTGAGAATCGGTATCCAGTAAGTGTAATGCAATTTTCGATCCAGTAAGTCTAATTTGTCTGATTTTTGTTATTAATATCAGAACATAGTGCTAATGGAATTCCAAGACATACTGAATTTGGACTGCACTACTTATTATTAAAAAATACTATACTAACATTGGAAAATGAAAACAAATTTCGTTAAAAAATCCATGGCGGATAACTTTTCGAATTTTAGGTTGGCTTTGTCCTTAATTCCTTGTCTCCAATGAAATTACGGAATAAAATATTTAATTTCAATTCTAAAATGTACACATACTTACCTCACTTATCCAGTCAATCGACAAGCAATTGAAGAGAAATTACTCCACATACTTAAACGCATAAACTTCGAAAATTAGTTCTTTCGTAAAAGTCGGTGAACGCCAAACTGACAAGCGAGCTCAGGGTTCGAAATTCAACTCTACTATTACTGAATAACCGCTACCATATAGTAAGTGATCGTCTGCGTCGTCAACGCGTAGGCGGTGTGGCGGCAGCTTGGTGGTATGCAGGTACGCCGCCTATGTCCCCGCAAACCCCCTCGCCCACAAGCCATCAGCAAGCTGTAGCGCGAAAACTAAGCAATTTAGCGAAAAATTTGTAGAGACCTTTATTGATGGCCCAAAAATTAGAAAAATTTACGTGTAAAAAAATCCCAGATATCCTCAGCCGTTTCAGCGAAAAAGAGGTTTTTCGGGTTTTTCGCTGATTTACAAAAAACGGCTGGTTTCCGGAAAACCAAATTCATACAACAATATTCGCAATCCTTTATTACACCATTACGCCAGCGGAAATAACTTTGTGGCCATGTTATCACTTTTGTCTCAGTTTCGGCTATTTAACTGGCCTAGTAAGAGAACGACGGATGATACATCTCTTCCTCGTCTTTTTCTCTCAGGTACTGCCTCACCAGTACGACTTGCTGTGCGTTCATTGATTACCGCCAGATTGAATGGGCGACAGAAGAAAAGGTGATTTAACCACGTTATACTAGAGGTGTTTTAATGCGCAACGTGACCACTTTCTCGAAGCAAATCCACCATACTTCCCGTCAGAACCCACCGCTGTGGACGTGTAATCAAGACGCATTTATGAACAAATCCTCGAAATTAGTTATACTCATGACACTTTTACCCGAGAAGATAAATCCTCGCGTATGCGATCAGTCTACCTCTTTCACACGCGCGGCGTCATTCGGTGACAAAAATCCTCAGAGACGGTTGTCAAAGATACAGTTATAAAGCCGCGTAATTTGTTATTAGTTTAGTCAGTTTTTCAAGCAAGTCTCTGTGTGAAATAAAATTAAAAAAACGGTAAATTAAACATTTAACTATGGTGTACTAATCACTGGTAGGTAGTTCAAACAACAAGAAGACGTTTCAAAGCGGCGTTTCTGCAGTTTTTCAAAGATCAAACAAGCTTGCGAACAATGGCTTCCGAAGTCTTATGAGCAACATAAATTTAATGTACAAACTGCAAGGATATGTTCGAAGCATATTTTCGAGAGTTACTATTATTTAAAAGAAAAAACTCTGGGAATACGTCAAAATAAATAGAAGTTGAAAAATACCTTCTCTTCATTTGATCACCAGAAGCGCAGACTTCTTGCAAGGCCATTAAGATTGACCAAAAATTATTTGACATCGTTAATGGATGTAGCCCTCCAGTTAGTTTAAGTGCAAATACCAAGCATCTTTTTTGTTAAGATGGAAAATGAATATTAAAATATGGATGTTGAATAGAAATATAAAAGAAAATATGCAGAATTGGGAAGAAAAAACGATGAAAAATGTAACAAAACACTTTATTTAGTTTCACCTATCCATAAAAAAAAATTAAAAAACCATTACACATAACATTTTAACAAAATTGTAACGATGTACTTACTCAATACTGTATCCAGTTTTCGATTCTATTTTTGTATAAAAAGTTAATACAACAAATTAATTTAAGTCAATGATGTACAGATGTATTATTTGAAACGAATTTACTTCAAAGTAAAAAAATAACCCCTTTAAGTGGACCTCTAAAGAAATTTCTGTTTGAAAAGCTACAAGCGCATTTTCAATGAATAAATATTAAATTATTTAGAACTTTTCAACTGTTCTATTGTCAATTTGTCAAAAGTCATAACTTTATAACGGCAATGTATTCCGCATATATAATGATATAGGTATAGTTCTTTTCACGGTTTTTGACGGTTCAAAGTAAAGCTACATTAATTGCTCTCAAACATCCATCTCTCTCATTCATACACATGCAACCTACCCCTGCGTGTGAACGTTTGTTCGGCAAGCTCAAAGACATGTATTTTAGTTGTGAGTCTCCATCTCGAAAACATTGTCGTTTCGTATGAGTGCCCTTAAATCATATTTGTCAGAGTGACAACTTACTTGACGTCGGCGTGCAATCTGAGTTGTCCTGTTATCAATCTTCAATATAATATTGTACAATGCCCGGAAATACGAACAATGTACAAGGTCGACAGCTCGTACTAAATTTGTTACAGTATTTCCAGGAAGTTTACTTATTTCATATGGCGTTGATGACCACGGCCAAGAATAGTGACTACAACTATACTTTATTGAATTGTATTGGCAAAGTATCAAGATATAAAAAAAAATACTATATATTACTAAAGTTATCATGTAAAATCGATAACACAAAAAATGTTAGGCAAATATTACAAACAATCAAAAGAATTCGCTCTAATACAATTTTTCATTGATTTCATACCGACGGGCGCAACATTTGTCACCGCGCAAAATGGCACGAAATTCGTTGGCGAAGTGAGCATATATTTTCGAGTTATACTTATATCATTCAACTTTTAGGATACTTTTCACCCTATAAGCACACTTAGATACTCGTAGATAGACAGAGATAGATAGACACATATTCGACTCTAGTACTGGTACACAATTCGGCCGGCTGGCAGTTTCATCGCCAGTAATTTGGTTTTTAAACGGAAAAAATGTTTCTCCTACTGAAATTCATCCGCAGCTTGTTAAATTAGGCGCGCTATTCATCTGGCGGGCCTTGCTGCCTTGCGGTAAGGACACAGACGCAACTGTTCAAGTTTTATTGGGAATTACTGGATCATTC